GTGTCGTTCGTTCGTCGTACGTAGAGAGACACACACACACACACATATATATATATATATATATATATATATATATATATATATATATATACATATATATATACGCCATATCTGCGACGGCGCTCCAACATACCCAGATTAGAGATGCCGACAAACAAGAGATTGCCCTGGAGTGTGTACAGGATTGCCGGTACACTCATCTTGAGCGTTTCCGTCGGCTTGTTGATGATCTCCTCTCGTAAGTGTTGAATGCTGGCCTTTATGTTGTAGTTGAACGTAGCCAGAATAATGCCTATGCACACACACAGCTTCACACACTCTCCCATAACCACGGCGGTAGAGGCGATATAGAGTTTGCCATCCGCTGTTTGTCAACGGCAGGCGTTAGTTTGTCCGAACGGAAAGCGTTTAGAAAGACGCCCTTATATGCGTAACGACAGATATATATTTATAACGACACATTTGTATGGTATGCTTGATTTATACCCGTGTATACAAGAATATATACAAAACAATTGTATAGATAAATCCCCAGCAAGAATATATACAAAACGTTTGTAAAGATAAATCACCTGCAAGAATATATATATACAAAACGATTGTAATGATAAACCTCCTGCAAGAATATATACCAAACGATTGTAAAGCACCTGCAAGGATATATACAAAACGTTTGTAAAGATAAACCACCCCCTCCCTCTCCTCTATGTAGCTACAGCGCAGTGTGAGGTCATCCACCCCACTGCATCCGCATATACGCAACAATTACCATTGTAAAAAAAAGTATGCAAAGTGAAACACGAACGTTTAAGCACGAACGTCTTGCAAAGAGAAGTAAAAACGTTTGGCAAAAGTTAAACACAAAGGCTTCCAATCAATGGTGACAGGTGTATGTTCATGCGAAATCCATTGCATCCGAATATGTCTATTTTGATTCGACATGTGAATCTGCAAACAAACAAAAAGACTCGAAAGCACACGATTGGAAGAGACTGTTGGTCCTCCTTATTGTAAGGCATAGGAAGATGTTGATATACGAAATTCGACAATAGGTGAAGATATATAGAAGATAGATTGGTCAGTACCACAGTATGGGCAAACACCCGATACACACTCAATCTGCAGTGTGGAAAACATAGTATACACACACACATATATATATATATATATATATATATCTACATATATACACACACACATATATATATATATATATATATATATATATATATATATAACACACACACACATATATATATA